CAAACACAGGAGAATACATCATCTCGCGGTTTCAAAATAAAAGCTCAAACCCTCACTCTGAGTTTACACGTTTTGATGTCCACATAATTCATTAAATTACAGTGGCTATAGCATTTTTGTCATAAAGAAATGGCCAAATATTAAAGATTAAGTGGACATTTTAATTAAATTATGCTTGGTCAATATTAAACAAGTATTAGATCGCACAGTAATGTGTAAAAACAATCGTCAGGCCGTTGGCGCCCCCTGCAGGCCTTTGTTGTAATGCGTTATGTACATTAGCTCTATTCACTGATCTATAATAGAGATTATATTATAATTATATATAGATCAGTGGCTCCATTACATTATACAGTATTTTAACAATTTTGTTCAATAAAACCATATGATTTCTTGCTTTTGATACTTTATTTGAATTATTATTGCCTCATTGCCATTATATATGTATTTTAAGTAAATTTAAAGGCTATTGTTCACTTAACCTACATCTATTTATATTACCACAAAAATGAATTATAAATTATAATATTTTATTATTAGTAGACCAGAACACGTGGACATGTTGTCATTCTTACACTATAATACTGAACTTTGATTTCAGTGATTTGGACTATGAGATGGACACTTGCTTCTTGCACTCTATGCTGCACTTTACTTTTGCTTTAAAAAAAGATTTAATAAAAATTTGGATTTCTTTTGGAGTTTCACTACCGAAGTCCTCTGTTCATTTTTTTCATCATGCTGGAGATGTCCGTTTAAATCTGTCGTTTACACATTTCTAAGAGTACTTTTAATACTTAATTTTTAATAATAATAAACTTTTAATAATAACATTTTAATACTTGATTCTAGTGGGCTCTAAACATTGTATTTATTTAATGTGAAGACCTAACTGTTGGGGTTAATTGAAACATCTTTTTTCCCCTTTGTAGTTGCACTCACAGCTGTAATGAACAGAAGCCCAGAACATGTGGATATATTGACATTAAGAACATGCTGACTTTCTCTGACTTTTGTAATTATTTTCTTTTTATTTCATTTTTATTAGGTTTGTTTACATTTTTACTCTTTTAGTTTTACATTTCATCAATGGCTTGTTTACATTTATACTTTATGGTACACTACTGAATGGCAAAGTTGCAAGTTTAATAAAATGTTCTTTAAAATTGAAGATTTTTTGGTGGGAAATTAATCGTTTAGATTAATCGATAAATTAGTCGATAGATTAATAAAAATAAAAATAATCATTAGTGGCAGCCCTAGTACGAGCATTGGACAAATACTGATGGATATGGATATTAAAAATAGGACAGAAATAGGAATCCCCAATATAAAAATTTCAATCAATAACGATAAGCTAATAATTATTTATGTTATGGCGAATAACCAATAACTGGATGATATTAAAATTCTATACTATTTTGCCTAAATAAATTAGAAATAAATCACTAAACTAAAATCAGTCTTAAGTAAATTTAGGCATCACCACAATATACAGTACGAAAAACGGATATTCATTTTGAGATTACATTTAACAGTGATAATAAATTAACTTTCAGTGAGCGTTAGATGATGGCAAACATAACCTAAATGTGAAAATAGGGAAATGAGCATGCACATACTGAAAAACTGAAATAGTAAAAATGTAAAATGTCTAATATCAGCCACCGATATGTTAACGATACACTGTGCATATAATTAATCAGCATACTGTATACAATTTAATTAACACAAGGAAACAAACAAACATTCTGACAGATTTAGTGTCAGCATAGATAAAGTTATGATTACATCTGCCATGTTCTTGCTTTACCTGTGAGCTCTGGGTTTAATGTGCTACATGATATGACATGAACATCTCTCTTCTCTCTCTCTCACACACACACACACACAAACACGTAAAATACACAAACATAGGAGTTACTTAAAAGGTTTAAAATAACCTAGAGACTGAGTACTCTTGTATCCAGGCAACAGAAGAGCAGTGGGGGCTTCTAGATGTAGTTGTTGTATCGGAGTGTGGATGAAACACTCCGTGACCTTGTGTTCCTAGTTCAGCACTGGCTCACATCTGCATGATATGTGAATCAATAATGTGGGTTTCTTGACTGAGGTTTTAATTTCCCTTAACTTTGTATAATCAATAGTGGGGGGGAGGGGTGTAGACAAATGTAATATTGTGTAACATGGTGGGGGGGGGTCACAAAGAATGAATGATGCCTGTTGACAGTGCTGTTATTTGTTATTTGCACATGCTCTCGGTGTTGTTTTAGCGCCGATTCACTAAAGGAATTATGCAAATCAGGTAACAGCACAAATGCTGCCACAAAATCTGTACATCACTGTGCAGCATCTCTCCACCACTGCAATCCAGACGCCTGAATCAACTCTTTAAAATGCTCAACAACACCACGCATCTGGATATATGGCTTCTTATGATGATCTTCTCCATTACAGCATGTGATGAGTAAATCCTGCTATAATCTATAGACAATGTACACGGATACCTCTTTTAAATCAAGTTCTGTTTACCAACTGCTTTCTGTGAGCGGTAATGATATGCAGTTCATTTCACCAGACAAACAGAGCTGTTCAGTTTGTAGTCTTAAAACTGAGATAAGAATTTGCATTTACCTGCCATAAGTTACCTTGGTAACTTCATATGGGTTTTTAGATTAGTGGTTTTACTTTAAGAGTTAAGTCTGTGCTTAACATTATTTGACAAGACCACTTCAGTAGGTTGGGCTTTCACATGTTTTGTTATATTTTAATACGTTTAAATGGATCCATAGAATACTGGAATTAGGGTTGTCACAAAATGTTGTTACTAACGATAACAATGTCATTGTTTTAAAAATTAAATATATCAATATAATTAAATAAAAATTATTCTGATATATTAATACTACACATATTATAATGCTGTAAATAATCCAGTGCCAGAAACTATCTGGAGTAATCTTGATACTCCAGCACAGTAGGTGGCGGTAACGCGGTTACCATCTGTCATAAGACAAGAAAGACAGCGACAATGCAGAGAGATGTGTAGCTAATATTGCCACACAAAATCTTGTCATCGGAGATGACAAATGAAACGGGACACTCTGGACCCGAAAAAAGTTTGCTCGCCAATGTGGAATTTTTTTTGGATTCCGTCTGCAGAAAGTACCTATCAAAAGCATGGTCTTTTTCTACGCCTTTGTAGGCTACAGTACGGCTGTCAAAAAAAATTGATTTTCAAATATTCATCGAATTTAAAATAAAAATCCACATTCAAATGCAAAAACATTGCATTCGAATTTTAGGTGTACGTTAAGGCAGCCTTATCAGGAGCACACAAGATGTGAAGACAATGTATCATTACATTTTAATGCTTTAGTTAGCATTTCCAGTTGAAACCACTAGATGTGGCGCTGCTGCATTGTTCATTCAAACTATTGTGGAAAAAGAGAACATCAATGCAGTGAAGATCTTGTTTACATCAAAACTAAAACCAAGCCATTCGAACAGAATATATATTTTGCACATTTTCTATAGGGACTTCTATCACAGGTGCACTTGAGTCTGGCACAAACTAATGCAAGTTCAATTTTTAAAAAAACATGTCTCAAGACTTCAAGGCAAGACTTTTTTTTATTACACTTTCAAAATTTCTATAAATATCATGATAATATCATTATCATGAATTATTCTGGGCAGGAAAATCGTGCAGTAAAAATCTGATACCATTACAGCCCTACTTGGAATGTTTGGTTTCAATTTCTACATTCTCGTTGGCTTTTTTGTGCCATTATAACTAAAATTAGATGCTATTGTATTATGAGTAAAACTGACTAAAATTAATAAATACTGACTAAATTCACAGGATATTTTCATCAAAAGACAAAAAACTTTTACCAAAAACAAAAAACTGTCACAAACCACTACAACTACCACAAAGATGAGAGTTTACTATACATGCTTGAGGAATTGTTGTAGTCCTAATACAGAGGCTTTTTTTGCGGTACGACCATGTATAATTTATGTAGAAAAAAACATTAAAGTCTCTTCAAGTAACCTGAACCACAGACCTTATTTTACTCCCAAATCGAAGACTGCTATTCTAAAACCCCTTTAGGAAATTCCCAAGGGAAGCCATGGTGAATTAGTCTTCCGGGTTGGTCTACAAATTGATTTCATGACTGAACAGTTCTATAGCACTGAGTTTTGTGTATAGGGTGCAATCAATAATGTGCCTAATTTACATAGAAATGAGACATGTTTGCACTGAAAATAATGACAATGACGTTTTAAAAATATGTCGCAACTCTAATGCATTTAGCACCTGGTTAAACTGGATTGTGGGTGATTAACAAATAAGACTAGGTTTTGTGCAGAAAATACTTTGCACAACATTGGCATAAATGTTCAATTAATTCACTAGCTGGAGATCCGTATATGATTTGGAGTTATTCTCTAATGACAGTCAGATAATGATTGGATATGGCAAATATGATGGCGTGCCACACACGTGTCTCCACTCACAGGAGAAATATTGTGCAGCCAGTGCTCGTCCATACTCAAATTAAGATCTTTCAGTGAACTTCAAACAGATTATCAGAACAATCCTGCGGCAATCAGGGAGCCATAAGTAAAATTACTACACCCGAGGCACTGGAAATGTCAAAGTATAACCCTATTCCAAGCCAAGCAGAGCACCTCAACAGGATTACACCAAATCATCACGTTTTTCAAACATTGCCAGCAATATCTTCTAAAGCTCCTAAATCACAAATCACTAAATTATCTGCAGTTCATCTTCGTGACATCCTGAGCAACCTTACGGAGTATTACAACATTTTATCACGACTGCAACTGCAGTGGCAATGCAGATAAAGGGAAAAAAAAACAAATAATGAAATATTTACCTCACCCTGAAAAGGCTGTGGTAGCACTACTCATAAATTTAGTTTCCGTTATTGTGCTTTTGAAACGGCATGTTAGCAGGATAAAAAGCAAACCTGAGTCCGAGCTGTACATGTAGACGAATTTGGTCCACTTGAAGTGCTCGACAAGGGCGATGAGAGGGTCCTGGAGCTCAGGTCTCAGCTGGATCACAAACTGGTTGTTGGTATCGATGGGGAAGCTGGGCGTGACGAAGCACACATGCAGAGCGCCGCAGAACGACATCAGCATGTTCATGGTCTTCCTGTCATACAGGCCGATGATGGCGTACACTCCTTTGGAGAACTGGGAACAAACTGAGAAGAGTACAGAAGAAGAAATGTAATGAACAATAGATTTGCATTATGAAATACAATTTGCCAATAAAGTAGGTAATAAATAAATACAAATATATTTAATTTTTCTTATATCGTATGGCAGAGGTTTTCAAACTAGGGTCCATGCAAAATTTTATATTTTTCTTACACACTTTTCTTATAAATAGTTATACTTTTATCTTGATAGTAAGTCTTAAAAATAATAAGTACTTAAAAGATGTGCTGATGCAACTACAACATCTGGAATAAAACATCAGCTCATTAACAATATAAAACTTGTGAAATACTCATTAGCACAAATTTACAATCAATACCCAGGGATGACAGAAGAAAGCAAGTGCTGGGTTGTCAATACGTTATCTAAAATTCTGCCACGATCACCTCCAAAGCACCTCCTGAAAAACAAGACCTCAATACGTCTTGCCCTGCATTCTTTGTAATTACAATGACAGTGAAACCTCCCAAACCTACCAATCATCTCTGCTCCAGCCCCCTCACAGCCGGCTAAACCCCATGTGCTTAAGAAGCACATGGCAACTGATTTTTATTGCAGTACTCCAGAAGGGGGCCTGTTTCATGTATTTGCGAGTCCTTTGTTGCAGATAGTGTCAAATCTGGGTCTCCTCAAGCAGAAAAGCTCCAAAACACCCTAGAAACACAGGTAATGAGTTTCCTACATTTTCACCTGAACTCCAAACTCTATCCTACCTCATTCCCTTCACTTTTATTCTGTAATTATATAAAATGTCCCTCTGGGACATTTCACTGCTCCACTGTCTTTTTTAAACCCTTCCACATTGCATACATTAATAATAATGCAGGCGTTTTTATATATAATTACAGCGCATTTGTAATAAAACACCATATGATAGTCTCATCATTAACCATAAATATCAATCTCAGTGGCTAGAATTCCAAAGTGTTTTCAAGCTAAGACCTTCCATTCGTTCCAGCTAATGTATAATTCCAGAGGAGATTTGTACCATTTGCATTCAGACATGTTGGTTCCCTGGGGCGTTGAGCATGTGAATGAGGGATGTGCCACAGTTGTGACATACTTCAGCTCCAAATCTTACCTTCAAGTGAGCAAACTTTCAAACCAGCCTCAGAAAACAACTCCGATAGCAGACAGATTTCTCCGCTTCTCATCTACTACAGTCGGCACTATTTAAGTCTTAATAAATCACCCTCATTGTCCCCTCCACAGCACTGATAGTGAAGATTGACAAATTGACGCTCGTAGATGTTTATCTTTTAAAACAGGCGATAAAGAGTCGATGCAAGGTTACACAATGCATTTATCTCAATCATTTGGAAAGATTTCTGCATGCACATCTTCTTTATCAGCATTCTTCATGCCTACCGCAGATAAAAGGAGGAGGGAAACGGCAAATCATTTTTTTAATGCGGTGCTGGCTGGAAGGAGTATCAGGGTTTGAATCTCTGTGTTGGGGTATAGAGAGCGTGTGTATGAATGTATAGTTGGGGGAGGGGGGAGGAGAAAATAAGTTTCCTGCCTGCGGTGATCTCCACGATGCTGAAAGATGTTTGTGACAGGTGGGTCCAGTGTGAGTGATCTCGTCTGATCTTCAGTCACTGCAGTGAAGATGAGAGGAGCTCCACTGCATCAATCTGTTCCAGCAGCCTCTGTTCTCCTTGCCTTTGGTTATTGAGCAGAGGAGGTAAAAAAGCGTATTTGAACTGATGTGCAGTCCTGTGACATGGCTGAGAAACCAAAATGGTGACAGGAGGCATTTATGCCAGCCATGGTCAATCAGAGATGCGGATTTGTACTGGTGATGTTTTGACTGTGATGCATTATACTGTAGCTGTATGAAAGGATTGTTTACCCAAAAATTAAAATTTTGTCATTAGTTTTGTCATATCACCCTCATGCCATTCTGAAATATGCCTATATTTCTTGTATGAAATTCAAAAGAGACCTTTTAGGCAGAACTCCAAACCTTCACCTTATGTTTTCCTTAGAAAACAAGTGGATGGTTATTTTTACTGACAAGCTCCCAAAAGGACAAAAATAAAGCACCATATAAGTGGTCCATATGACTCATGCACTATATTCCAAGTCTGCTAAAGGCATACTATACACTCTAAAAAGTGTAACTGGCAATTGTTACCTTATTTCTACCTGATCTGATTCTTAATAAATTACTTGTAGTCAATTTGATTCAGTGATAATATAAATCACATTTATAAATAAAACCAGTTTAGTTGCTTCCACATTTTTTACCAGTATCTTTTTTACAGTATTTACAGTAAGTTTGCGTGAGCAACACGAGAATTTACCGTTATTTATAAATATGTAATTAATTTAATTTATAAACAAACTTTGGTCGGTTTCTTACACAAGTATGTTGTATGCCTTCTGAAGAATATTAAAACTAAATTAAAAGTCTTGGGATGGTAAGATTTTTTTTCCGGTTTTGAAAAAAGTATCTTATGCAAAATTGTAAGTAAAATAGTTATATTGTGAAATATTACTACAATTTAAAAACTGTTTTATTTGAATATATGTTAAAATGCTATTTGTTCCTGTGATGGCAAAGCTGAATTTTTAGCAGCCATTACTCAAGTCTTCAGTGTCACATGATCCTTCACAAATCATTCTAATATGCTGATTTGATGCTCAAGAAAGATTTTTTTATTATCAATGCTGAAAACAGTTGTGCTGCTAATGTTTTTGTGGTAACTATTATTTGATCATTTTTTTCAGAATCATTTTAATAAATAGAATGTTGAAAAAAACCACATGTATTTAAAATAGAAATCTTCTTGTAAAATTATAAATGTCTTTACTGTCACTTTTGATCAATTTAATAAAATCACGATGTGAGTGATTTCTAAACCACAGAAAGCACGATTTCTCCGCCACCTCCCTCACGGTGCGTGTCGACTGGCGCAGAGCAAGCGAGCATTTGCATTTCATTCCTATGGGAGTTGAGCTTCACGCTTGTGCAGAAAAAGCGTTGATAACGGCCAAAAGTTCAGAGATGTTTGACTTCATGCAAATAGCAAGTGAAAAATGCCAGGTGGCACCCAGTCCCTGTGAGAAGCCGGTATGACATCTGTCACGAGTTTTTGAAATATGCTGATTGTGCTTGCATTTCTGCTGGATTAAGTGCTTAAATCATATTGTTTTACACACTGGATGTATTAAAGTTGTTTGGACATGTATTTCATTGGCTGGCCTTTAAATGTTTAAATGTTAAAGGGGTCATCGGATGCCCATTTTCCACAAGTTGATATGATTCTTTAGGGTCTTAATGAAAAGTCTATAACATACTTTGGTTAAAATTTCTCAATGGTAGTGTTAAACAACACCCTTTTACCCTGTCAAAATCAGCTCTGTTTTCAGCAAGCTGTTTTAGTCCATGTTCCTTTAAATGCTAACGAGCTCTGCTGACCCCGCCCCTCTCTTCCGTGGGGTGACGAGCCATTCTCATGAGACTGTTTACTTTAGCCGCAGAACTTGCTAACTAGCACGTTAATAGGAAAGGCGATTTGCAAAGATTCATTAAAGAAACTTATACTCTGGATCACGAATGATTCGCGCGAACAAACGCATTTCGGTAAATCGGGAGGCGCATTCCCTTTAAAAACAAAAGTAATTCACTGCGTCTTCAGAGGCTCATATGTCGGTAGTAAATGACGACTGCTATGTTCATTATTACATCCAACAACAAAACACCTCAATTGCTTAGGAGCCATTCTTGTCTACATCTGCTCCGGCGGTGAAACAATAGCGGACTGATGACAGCTCACTCAGGGTGGGTCTAAGGTAAAACGCTAGTGTCAATCAACAATCGTGGGAGGGGCCTGGGTCTGTGTAATGTCATCTGAGAATGGCTTGATATGAGAAAGGGAAAATGATTTAACGAGATAAAAAAAAAAAACACTGGGTGGATCTTTATCATTATAGGGTGGTTGTGTACACACTGCCAACACACATTTCAGTTCAAACAACTTGTAAAAGTGCATGTCACATCCAATGAACCCTTTAAATAAAATGACGCTGTATCTTTACTTTGGGCATTCGGAAACAAAGTTAGCATCTTTCCAACTTAATTGCTATGGTCATCACATTACCAGTGAGCTGTAAAAAGCACATAAACGTACTCGTATTTACCCATATTCATATTGTATGGTCTGTTCTAGAGACATGTTGTTGATAAAGCTCTAAATGGTTTGTAATTGTTTTTCCGAAATGCAAAATGTAATATATAAATTTTTTTATTAAATGTGTAAGGAATAGGGATGTAACAATTCACTCTACTCACGATGCGATACGATTCACGAAGCGATACATTCATATAAACCCCTACTCCCAAGTGTATCACGATTCTTTAACATTTCAACCAACTTGATTAGGCACATATTTTTAATGATTTTCAACCAGCTCAGGGTGCATCATTACATCCCTAGTCTTGAAATACTGTTTTAAAATCTAAATTCAGCGAAATCGTAATAATCTAAAAATCATATTTACAATCCACTTTTATTGTATGGAAAACAGAAGCTTGTTCATTCTGCATAAGATTTCCTTGCATGCTTCACAAAGAAAATAATATTATAACAGGGTTGAAATGGCATGGGAATGAGCTAATGTCAAAATGTTAATTTTTTGGGTGAACTTTTTACTTAAAAATGATGAAAAGGTGGCAGCTCATCGCCGAATCCTGTAGCATTAGGGCCCAGCGTTTTACTCTGTGAGAAAATACCTAGATCATTTAAAAGATTACAGCCAAGCAGGCTCTTTTTGTCACCTAACAGAATCAGATTTTGTCCCTGGTGTCCTCTAAGCGGCTTGTAGCCTCAGTCTTTGCAAGATGATATATCTGATGAGGTACATTTTTATCACTGTATCATTCCAGCCCAGTGAAGGTCGGGGAGCATGTAGCCCCACAGGCACATATCCTGAAATCACCACAGCTAACTTCAGCCCGTCTGTGCCATTCCCTCTG